CTACTACCCTATTACATAAATCTTCCAAAAATCATTTCGAACCTACTCAATTCTAGGCCTGTTCACCGGTCGGACTAAGGGTGTTTTTGGGACCTATCCGAATTTTCAGGTTAGAAATTAGTGGAAACCAATGGATTGTAAAACAATCGCAACCCAATCCAATAAATTCGGGTTGATCGATATGATTGATATTTTTGTATATATATATTTATAATAAAACAAGGAGGTTGATTGGGACATCCGACCTTATAATTGTGGACATTATCTACTTTTGTTGGTAGTGGTAGTGGTAATGGATGAAGCGCCCCACACCATAGTGGATGAAGCACCCCACCATAGTTTTCTCTCTTTTCCTGTTAACATTTTGATTTGAGGTTAAAAGTTAAAAAAAAACATAATTTATCTGGGTAATTAATAAATTTTGTTTCATTTTATAGCGGTGGGAGATTCAAACTCTTATCCCTATATTTATCGTATTAAAAATAAAATGAAGACATCATCTCGATAATAACTTTGACATCAAAATATGTTAGAAAAAGTTACTAATGCTTCAACTATTAAATTAGACTAATATATTTGTACTCAAAATAATTAAGCTAACATAGTTAAATTCATATTAGTGTTTATGGTGGTATTAATTTGGCTCTAATCAAATTTTGATATTTATATAAATATTTGGCCAAATTACCATCGTGAAGTAGCATAGTTGTCAAAAATGACCGAGATAAAAAATATATATATTTATATAGAAATAATGAGTTCAAACCATAATGACCACTTACCTATGAATTAATATTCTATGAATTTTATTGACAACTAAATGTAGTAGGGTTATATGGTTGTCTCACTAAATTAATCGAAGTGTGCGTAAGCTAGGCCAGACACTCACGAATATAAATAAAAAAATATCCTAATATTAGGGGCCTTTAGTACAAGTTGAGTTGGGACAACGAACCTTGTTGCTACTGCGTACGATGCACGATGAAGGCCTTTCCACCTGACTTATTTATAATACTTGAAAGATAACAATTGAGACATTAATGTTTAATGAACTTATTGATTTTTTCTAGTATAACCATTTTGAGGTGTTACGAGGCAAATTTCTTTTATCTCAACCGGACAACTTGGGACATTCAGGATTATTGGGGGTGGGTGGTTATGAGGTCAGTGAGGAGAGACGCCGGATTTTGATCACAGCATGGCAGATTTGGGAGGTTAGGAATCAGACAATTTTTAAAGGAGAAATTTCAAGCACTGGAGACATCCAACATAAGATTAATATTTTTCTCAATCAATGTTCATCACCACATACATCTATTCAGTGAACTACACCAGCAAACAATGGCACCATTGCAGGAAATTATCAAAATCGTTTGGAAGAAGCGTACCAAATATACAGAGAGGAAAATACTTCAACTGTTTGATGGACCCCTCCCCCGCCAGGATCATGTAAGCTCGATACCGACGCGGCTTGGAGTGCATAAAGGGGATCTGGTGGGTTGGGTTGGATACTCATAAACGATAAAAGGAGAAATTTTGAAGGTGGGTTGTGAAGTGATTAGAGAAGAAAGAGAGATTACTTACCTTCAAATGATTGCAGTTTGCAAGGATTTGGATGCAATTGGGATTGAAATTCAAAATCCAATCTACTTGGAGACCGATTCTCTGGAGGTGGTTGAACTTCTTCACGGACGAATTCAAAATATGATTGAAATTTGGTGGCTACTCAAAGATGCAAAGAGGAGAGAGAAAGAGATCCATCTGGTTTCGAAGGTGCACATCCAGTGAGATGCAAATGACACGGCTCATGGTATTGCCCGAAGAGCTATGGTGTACAATTCTGACAGATGAGTGGATTTTTGAGTTTCCCATTTGGTTGATGGAGTTAGCACGCATTGTTTAGTTTTTTTTTTTCTATTTTTTGTTCCAAAAAAAACCATTTTGAGGCGTTAGAATTTAAGCTTTAGACGGAATTTCTATTTTTTGTTCTAAAAAAAACCATTTTGAGGCGTTAGAATTTAAGCTTTAGACGGAAAAAAAAAAGAGTTACAGGCTTTTGCCTCTTAACTATGTTGACATTAAATACAGAGTTACAGGCTTTTGCCTCTTAACTATGTTGACATTAAATACATGCAATTAAAACTGGAGTATTGTATTGCATTGCATATTTTCAAATGAAATATTGTATTGCATTTTAAATAAAAATATATATTTTATATGTGTATGAATACGCAAGTTGTAGTTGTTTGTTATCACCCATAATTGTCTCATTTCATTGAATAGTTATTCTATTCTATCATTTATTTTCACATCTATAAACATATATAAGATATATTACTCCCATTTTATCGAGGTCGAAAGTTCAAATACCCACCTACATTTGTTGTATTATTTTTTTTTTAATATTTTTGGCACAAAACAATCTTAATCCTCCTGTAAAAATTTACAACGATTAAATAAAAAATTTACAACAATATAAATTAAAAACTTATTTGAGCTATATTCGCTGAGAAAAGGATAAATATGAAAATATTAACGTACAAATAGTTTGGATAATGAAATAGATAAGACTTAAAAAAGAAAGAAGGATTTGCAATGGATTAAAGCGAACATAGCTCAGCGGTAATTGACATGTACGTCAAAGATGGTGTGAGTTCGAATTCCCCCCACATGTTGTAAAAAAAAAAAAAAAAGGAAAAGAAGGGTTTGCAACGGTCTTTGGTCCGTAGCTCGATAAGCCCCTGAACAAGTATGAGTAAGTTGGATAAGAGTCTCGGCCCATAGAAGCGTTTGGTGGGTCGATTATGGGCCGGGACCGCATTCGTCTTCTCGATCACTAGAGTAGAAAGCTCTAGTAGACAAACGCGCCCCAGTTTCGGTTTCGAAGCCGTTATTTGATAGATTATTCCCGGCAAAAAAGGAAAAAAAAGGGAAAAAGAAGCCCTAATTCGTTCGCTCGTAGTCCAGTTCCCCCCTCGCCTTCCTCTGTTCGAATTTTACACTCCAGAATGTCTACACTCGAAATCGAAGCTAGGGAGTATGTCTTTTTTCCTTCCTCCCTTCGTTATTTTATCAGTTAAATTGCTTTATATTTGGTTACCATGACATTTCGACGATAGAAGTGGGATCAGCAACTATCTTTACGTGCCACTTCTGAGCTTGCTACATTTTATATTCATTTATCTATTTCGATTATTCTTTTTTTGGGTTTTCGTACTGCGTCCAGTGCATTCTAGTACCCATTTTCATATTTTTCCATTCCAAACTTCATAAGTTTTTCTGTGGTTCTTCATTTGCTCTCACTTATAGCTGCTCTCTTTATCCAGTTTAGGTCTTAAGAGTTGAAAAATAACAATGAAGTTTAAATTTGGCATTCTTCCTTTGGAAATAAGAATGACTTCTACACTGTTGTTTTACATCTACATGTTTTTCAGTTGCTTTCATTGCTTGCTAATCAATATGCAAACGTTTATTATTTTATTTTATTTACTGTTACTGCATTCCTCCTGATCATTAGTTATGTAAAGGTTACATTTACCCAACTCACGGTAACGGTGCTATCTCTAAGCTGTAAGTCGTATATTCTATCCTGATCTCGATTATTTACTATAACGCTGTCTTATTACCTCCCTCTCGTTATCTACTGTAGATACGTAGTTTATTTTTAAGGTGCGATTGCATCTCATGAATCGTTTTTATCCTCTTCTCGTAAGAGCAAAAAGTTCTGATATGATTTCCTTTCAGCGTCATCAAGATCGTGCTTCAGTTTTGTAAAGAAAATTCATTGCACCAAACATTCCAGACGTTACAGAATGAGTGTCAGGTTTCTTTGAATACCGTAGACAGCATTGAAACTTTTGTTGCTGATATCAACTCTGGACGGTGGGATGCAATATTGCCTCAAGTGTCTCAACTTAAGCTGCCTAGAAATAAGTTAGAGGATTTATATGAACAGGTAGAGTAAAATGAACTGTACAGTTATTAAAATCTTGCATCTATTGTTTCATTCCTCAAAATCTGTTAAATCAAGCTAATATTTTGGGTTTTATGACAAATTTTGTACATCACCGCTGAAATAAAATTTTTACTTGACAAAATACCTCGAGAAAGATTTCCCTGTATGGATAAATTTAATTATCGTTAAGCGTGTACTGGGTTGAGAAGGTAGATGGAAGAGTTGACAAATGGCTTAGTGGCGACATTATAGTTTAATATGGGATTCTGGAGAATGTATGAACTCAAAATTTGTAGAAAGAGGACTCTGTAGCAGCAATTGGAATATGTAAGTTTACTCGAGGTTGGGATGAAATCATCTACTTCAACGTTATTAGGTTTTCTTGTAGACATGATTAAGATTTATCTTCATTTTATTGATTATTTTTTTTTGGGAGAGGTTTTTGTAAGGTTTGATGTAAGATTATTTGGGGTATATCTTTATAATTTTTGTAACCTCCTTGTATTTCTCTTCCAGATTGTATTAGAAATGATTGAGCTTCGTGAATTGGATACTGCCCGTGCTATTCTGAGGCAGACTCAAGTGATGGGCGTCATGAAGCAGGAACAACCTGAAAGATACTTGCGACTTGAGCATCTTTTAGTCAGAACGTACTTTGATCCGAATGAGGTAAGATTTAGGAATTGATTAATTAATTGAATTGACTTTTTCTAAATTGGGTTGTTAGCTTATTTATTGGTTGCTGTGTTATTTTAATTTGGTTGTAGATGATACCCAATTATCAAAAGCTTCCTCACTCTTTAGCTCGTGGTCGTTGGTCTCTTGGGTTAATTGAATCTGGAGTTCTATTCTCTATTTTACATGTTGTGTATCTATAACCACTATGTTTGAAATTGACACC